GGGCCACCCGCCACCCACAGACGTCCTCCTGGGAACGTGAGAAGCTCATTGACCCGGATCCACACGTGAAATCTGATCTAAGTAATGACTTAGCTAACTCAGCAGAAGCTGCTGCTGTTCTCACAGTTATTCTTTCCCCTTCTGCTCTGAGCTCTCAGATAAGGCCCAGAGGGCTGTGAAAGCCGGGGTGTCCTCAGAGGCCGCCTCTGGCGGGGGCCCCGGAGTTCGCCCGGCAGAGGAAGAGCCCGGTCAATCCCAGCCCCGCATCCGAGCACCCACGGCTCCCGCACGTCTCCACGCGAGACCCTCCTCCCTCGAGGGGAGGCCTCCTCCCTCCAGGCCTGTGGTTTGGGGTCAGAGGTCCCTCTCCTCTTGGGGCAGAATCATTCTGGTTCCGATGGTGCCCTGACCCGGAGTCTCTATCCAACACCCCCCACCCCCACCCCCACCCCCACCGCCCCCGCCTGGGCCGGCGCCGCCCCCAGGAGCGAGGCCGGGGGTGCGGGGTGGGCGTCCGGACGGGGCGTCAGAGGCAGCAGCGAGACGGAGGTAAAAGTTAAATCTATTTATTTCAAGAAAGGACAAGGGAAGTGGACTCGGACGTCTCATATGAAAACAGACAAACAGAAAATAGGACCAGATAGCTCATCACATTCGTGTCGACATGGACGTTTCAAGGCACCTACAGGACGGAGGCCGCAGGGGCGCAGTGCACTTTGGTTTGTGTCGTGGTCTGGTGGGCGCTGGCGTGTCGGTTTCCAGGAGCCTCTGTGGTGTGAGGCCGGAGGGCGGCGGCCCGCCGGTGCTCCCCTCCCTCCAACCCCCGAGACTGCTTTGCCCTTCAGAAAAACAGGAGAAAAACAAGGGGTGTGCGGCCCAGGGGCCTATGGGGCTGATCCTGCGGGGGAGGAGGGGGAGGGGCCCGGGGGAGGGGGCCGGGGGCCTGGGCAGGGGTCCCTCGGCCGCGGAAGGGCCCTCCTCACAGGCTTGTGGGAGATGAGGCACCCGCCGGGGTCTCTCAGCGGACTTTTCCCCTTCGCCTCCCGTTCACACCCTCCTGGGGGACATCCCTCGTGAGGGGCGTCTGCTCCGGCCAGCTGGCTCCCCACATTCACACCCCCCACCCCCACAGCCTCCCAACCTTCCGCACCATCGCTCCCCCTCCTCCCCCTTCCAGACGACAGACCTCACGTGCAGCCCCTCCCCACGGCTCTCAGCATCTCTGAGCTGCGAGGCACCAGCTCCCCGTCCAAAGACCCCGCCCACTGCCGTCTGGCGCCCGGGGGGGAGGGTGGGGTCTCAGCGGGCCCAGTGCTGGCTTGTGGCATGCTGGGTCAGGTAAAAAAAGCTAAGGCTAGTGCCGGGCCGGCGTGGCTCAGTGACTGAGCGTCGACCTATGAACCAGGAGGCCACGGTTCGATTCCCGGTCGGGGCGCAGGCCCGGGTTGCGGGCTCGATCCCCAGTGTGGGGCGTGCAGGAGGCAGCGGATCCCTGATTCTCTCTCATCATGGATGTTTCTCTGCCTCCCTCTCCCTTCCTCTCTGAAATAAATAAAAGCGTATTTTAAAAAAAGAAAGACTAAGGCTAGTTTCAGGGGTTTGTGTCTGCCTCGGGGAGCCAGAACCTCCAGAGACAGGACCAGCCTCTGGGACGCTGCAGGCGTGTCCCCCGCGCAGGGCCGCCAGCTCCAGGCAGCCCGGCTGTGGCTTTGTCGGCTCCTGGTGCCTTTGTTTTTCTCGGTCTTGAGGAGAAAGCTTCGTTAGTTCCTCCAGGCGGGTGGCCCGAGGTCACACAGGTGGGACACCCAGTTCTCCCTCTGTCACCACCTGAGGCTCGGCTGACAGAGCTGCCTGCGAACCCCGCCCAGTGGCTGGCTTTCCTCGTGGGGCCCAGCTGATGGCCGGTGGGTCCAAGGGGAGCGGATGAGAGGCCCCTCGCCTGCTGGGCTGCCAGGGGCAGGTACCGGTGGGGGGTGGTGGTTGCTAACACGCTTGGTGCAGGCCTGGGGGCAGAGGCGGGCGGGAGGAGGCAAGGGGAGGTCGGGGGAGGGGACGGAGACGCCGGGTGCCAGGCGCTGTGCTGGGCTCAGCGACCCGCCGCGGACGGCTCAGGGCCTGGCACCTCGCAGAGCCGCCGTCCCCCTGACAGCTGAGAGATTTAGGGCTGTGACAGCAAAGACCTTCCTGCGAGGACTCCGGGCTCAGCGTTTCCGGGCTCAGCGTGGGGGCGGCGTGGGAGTGCGGGAAGGACGGGTCGGGGTGCCCTGCTCGCTCCGGTGGCTGCGAGCCCCCGCAGAATGCCCACTCTGCCCTCCCAGTCCGGCGGGAGGCGGGGCAGATGTCTCCTCGGGGTGAGGACCAGCCGCCTTGCCCTCACGGCCTCGGGGCCTGGGCGCCTGCAAATCCCATTTGTGGTGGGAACAGGGCCTGACCCCAGCCATCACGATGGAGGAAACCGGAGAAAAACAATGCATCAGAAATGCAAAGGGAGGAGGAGGGGGAGGGAGTGAGGAAAGGAGGAAGGAAAGAAGGAGGGACCGGAGCCCGGGGACCTTTCGTGAGTGTTTTTAAAGAAGCAAACGTGCGTTTTCCAGGCAAGCACTTGGAACGTTTCAAAGGAAACGTAACTGCTTAAAACGGCAGAGTGAACGGCGCCCCAGGCAGCCGTCAGCGAGGGATGGATGTCTGAGCGGCAGCCTGGGCTGGGAGCTAGGAAAACAGCCGGTGGGACGGTGCTGGGAGCAGCGTGGCCAGGACCCGGGCTGCGAGCAGGCCCAGGAGGCACCGGGACCGAGCCGGCCCCAGGGGTGGGCCCCCTCTGAGCCCCCTGCCCGGACCCCTGGATGGAGCGGCGCCTGTCTGTGCCTCCTCCCCGGGGACAGGGCTCTCTGTCGGGCTGGGGACGGCCTGGGCCTGGGGTCTTCAGAGGACGCCGGTCCCCGGAGCTGCACAGCGGTCACCTCCGTGCCTCCCTTTCAGGGTCCCGGGGACGATGGTGTAAAGGGGGGACCAGGACCTTCTAGCCCAAGAACCAGGAAAATCCCCGCCAGAGCCTCCTCAAGCCCTTGATTGCTCCCAGTGACGGGGCGCTCACTGCCTGATTCCTCTGCCGGGACGAGTTTCTCTTCCCTGCCTTTACGGCCGGGCCCACTCCCCTTTACGGCTGGGCCCACTCCCCTTTCCCTGACCGCAGGGGAGGGGTGGATCGGGGACGCACCTGTCCTGGGACAGAAAGGGAGTCCTCCTCTCTGAGGGACTGGCCTGGCCCGCTCCCCTCACTGTGACCACCGCAGGCGGACAGAATCTGGAGGGCAGGGGTCGAGGCTCCGCTGGGGGCTGGGACAGCTTCGGAATGACTGCTGCCAGGGCCCAGGAGCGCCCCCTGTCTTAGAGCCGGAGCACTGGCCCGGATGGAGGCAGACTGGGCTTCTCCGAGGGAAATGCTGGAGCCTCAGCTTCATCAACCCCTCCGCCGGGCGGGCGCTCGGCCTGGGTGGGTCGGCCTTCCCTGACCCCAGCCCCCCTCCACACACCCCCAACCCCAGCAGCCGCAGAGGCAGCCCCGCGCCGGCCGGCCGGCAAAGCCCTGCTCCACGTGTGGCCACTGGGGGCAGGTCCATAAACCTCGAAAAATACCCTTTTCCTTCACCTCCACGGAGTTTAATCTTTCCTAATCAATTTAGCAGACGCGCGTAGTTGTAAATGGCCATGATTTGCATTTCCGAGCCTTTTATCCCTTCTCGGGAAGGAGGATGCTGCTCTGCCTGCGCGGGAGGCTGTGAATTGCTTGTTAGCATCGGCCTGGCGCCCGGCCAGCACCAGGTGTCCGCTGCCGTCACCTGCGCCATCGGACGCAGGAGGGATGGGCTCAGGGGATGCCCGCGGCTGACCCTGGCCCTGCCCTGGCCCCGAGAGCTCAGCCTGGTCCTGGGGGTGCGGCTGCCGTGCACCTCCGTCCAGCAGGCGCCCCGGCCCCACCGCTCCCCCTCTGCCGCATCCATTTTCTTGTTTCTCATAAGCATCCGCCTCGGATGCCCAGTCCTCCTGGTGCGTCCAGCAGACGCAGGTTTCGGGCGGCGTGGGCTGGCTTTGGGACTCCTGCTGCCAGCTCCTGGCGGGGGAGGGGAGGAGGGATGCTCAGATGTGGTCCCAGGCTCCATGACCCGCAGGCATCCCTCACCTGGCTGCCCCTTACGCTCCTGTACGGGACCCACCAATCGCAGGACCAGTGAGGAGAGAATCTCTGGAGCACCCAGCTTTCCTGGGTGAGGCTAGGCCACCTCAGCCCACCCACACTTACAGGAGGGGAAACAGGCAGTGGATCTGCAAAGCACACTTTCCCTGGATCTCTCAGGGGCCCTCCCCAACCCTCCGCATTCTGCCTGGCCTTGGGCTCCCCTGGTTGGGGCTGGTGGGCTTCCCTGGAGCCGTCAGGGGAGGGGGGAGAGGCACAGGTGGGCGTGGCCTTCCGGTTTTAGTGGGGGCTAAGCCGGAGCCCCCGAAGCTACTGCTGCTGTCCCCTCCTCTGTCAGCACCACCCAGAGGCAGAGCCCGTGTCCCGCTCCTCCCCGGCCAGCACCAGGCCGGGCGGGGTCGCCTCCCGATCGCCCCAGCCTGTTGCCATGGCGGCGGTCCAGGCGGCCAGCCGGCTTAGAGAAGATGGAGGCTGCCTGGGGGCCCAGGAAAGGACGGGAAGGGAGGAAAAGCGGCCTTGGTGCGTCAGGCCTGGGATGAGGATGACTAATTAATAGGCTTTATTCTTAGGGATCTCTTCAGCATCCCATACGCTGGGCCCGCGCCTGAGCCGAGCTCCGAGGCCTCGTTCGCAAAATGCAAATGGCTCGCCTGGCCCTGCTGCCTCCTCTCCTCCTTTTTTTTAAAGGGGAAATTTAAAGGAAAATTGCCATGAAATAGAAAAGAGAGTCCAATCGCTACATCTAATTACCACGAAGGGTAAACCACTTGACCACAGAGATGTCGTGGGCTTTTTCCCTTAAATCTGCCTTAAATGCCGCAAATGCACGCGCAACCCCGAGGCCAGAGAGGTGGTCCTGGCCGGCCAGAGGCTGCCGGGTCAGGCGGGCCGCCCGCCGAAGGCGGATTCCGCACAGAAGTGGTGGCCCAGGCCCCGGCTCGTCCTCACGGGCCCTGTGTCCTCACACGCGTCCAGGGGTGCGGGGGGTGGGCCCGGAGCATCCTCTAGTGGTTATGGGCCAGTTTGGGGGCAGCTGGATCTGGAGGGCGGGGGTCGCACAGTGGGCCTGGCTTTAGGCCCCGCCTGGCTCGGGGGACGCGAGGCAGCGGACATCCCGGTCCCGCTGTCAGACAGAACGCCGGGAAGATGTTGGGGTGCTCAGGGCAGAAAAGATGAGGGGGCCCAGGGTGCTGGCTGGGCCAAGCCTGCAGGGCGCGGCGGGTCAGGCAGGGCCTGGGCTCTGAGCCCGTGAGCCCTGGCTGAGCAGGAGAGGGAGGCTGTCCGGGGTCTGGGGGGCGGGCTGCTTAATGCTCTTCGGGGAAAAGGGTTCTGCACAGGCTGGTTCTAGGCCTGCAAGGCCCTCCCTACACGCAGCCCCACAGACTGCCCCCCCTCTCCGCCCACTGTCCCCAGGCGCCTTCCGGGCCTCGGAGGGATGACTCGACCTCGGCCGGCCTGGGGAGAGGAGGAGGGAGGACCTAGAGGGGGTGGGGGCTGAGCACGTTGACAGTGGGGACCTGGGGGTGGGTAGTGGGGTGTCCAGGGACCAGCTTTCCTGGGATGCTGGCGGAAGGCAGGAGGGGTGTTGGGGGGAGGGGACCTCATTTCAGAAACAGCAGAGCCCGTGGGCGCCCAGTGCCCTCCCCCTAGCCCCCCCCCCGCCCCCCTCCTCCCAGCCACACCCAGCGGCCCCTCCGCTCCTCCGAGCTGCGGGAATGGGCACAAGCCTGTGTCTGAGATCCCGCACACACGTGGAATTAAGGCTTGGGAACTCTCCTGGCACTGAGGACACAGGAAAAGGATGGTTTTCTAACGCAGGTGTCCATGCCCCTCGGCCTGTCCTGGGCTGGGGAGCTGGGAGTCCACTCGGCGGGACCTTCCTCCAGCCAGGCCATGGCAAGCCCGGCCGCTCTCTCCTCCATCGCAGCGGGTCTGTGTCCCTCCCGCCCACCCCCGTCTCTGAAGGCCAGCAGCAGCTCTTCACGTCCACCGAGCCGCCCGCCCAGCGGCCCTGTGACTGCTGCGCCGTCTTGCCTCCTGCCTGTGGCTTTGGTCAGAGCAGCGGAAGCCTCTGAGCACGCCGCCGCCCGCCGCCCGGCCCTTCTCATCCGCCCTGCCCTCCGGCCAGCACCTCGCTCTCCTGGTGCGGTGCGGGGGCGGGCGGCAGGCTGACGGATGGCGACCCCGTTCCCGAGCAGAACCCCGGGCGCCGTCCGCCCATCCACCGGTCCGCCCTTCCGTCCAGATTTGCTGTCGTTTCATCATCGTTTTCATTTCACTGCCCGCCCGTCGGTGACAGAGGAGGCGATGCAGCCTGACCTCCACGGGGGCCGGGCAGCGCCTTTTGGGGGCGCTTGCTTCTCGGGAGACGGTCCTCCCCAGTGGGCATGGCTGCAGGCTTTGCACTGGTGAGTGCTGCCTCCCGGGCTTTCTGAGAATTTCTGTCCTTTTCTGGCTCGTGGTTGAGCAGCCATGGAAACCATTAGGTCTAATCAGCGGATGTGGAAACACACACACAACCCATCCCCGCACCAGCCGCCCGTCTCAGGAGGAAGCACAGAGCCCAGAGGAGGAGCTGCGGAGGTGACTGCATGGGGGGGGGGGCACTGGCAGTTAAAGAAGGTTTCTCTATCGGAAAGGAGCACGGCCCAGCTCTGGCCAACCTGAGATAGGATCAAACGGAAAGCATCCCAGCCACCCGCCCAGCACAGTCACGCCTCCGCCTTCAGGAACGGCATTGGCCCCACCCCCACCCCACTCCGATCCCCAACACCTCGTGTCTACTCACTCACTGACGGTTAGGAGAAAGCAACATGTTCATGACTCTATTGTCTCAGAAACGGTAGGCAGGGAGCGGGAGGTGCCGTCAGGGCCGTCGCCGTGGCTCCAGCTACCCCGTCCGTGTTTGGAGATGCGACCTCGCGATGGCGGCCGGAGAGGCCGCAGGGGCCCGGGCGCCCATGGCGGGCGCGTGGCCGTGGGCGTGGAGAGGGTGCCGAGAGGAAGAAGGGGAGTCTAGTTTTTACCCAGTTCCATCACAGTTCAAAGAACGCAGTAAAAGACGCGATGTTTCTGAAAACCCGCGAGGGCGACGGTGTGGGAAGAAGGGGGAGGAGGCGGAGGAAAAAGCCCTAACTCCCCCTCTCCCAGGTGAGGGGGCCCGGACACGTCCCATCGCGTCACTGCGGGCCCAGCGGGGGGCGTCCGCGTCCCAGGGCGGCTTCTCCGCGGGGCCCCTGGCGCCCACGGACGTCACTTTCCACTTCGGGGAACACCCCCCGGCCCGGCCCTGCCTGCAGCGTTATTTTTAGTCCTCCCCTCCCCAGCCGGCATAATTTGGTACAAATTATGTCTTCAGCAACGGCAGCCCGCCCCCGCCCGTCTTCCATCCTTAACAAAACCCTTTTCCCGGGCGGCCCTCCCCGCGCGTGGCTTCCGGGCGGCGCCGGGGTCCTCCTCGCTCTGGGGGGGGCAGCGCGGTCGCCACGGGGAGGGGGGGCGGGGGAGCCGCGGCGCCGGCTCAGCTGTAGGAATAGTCGGCGTCCGGGATGCCGCCCCCGCGGTAGCCTCGTGTGGTGGTGCCGTAGCCGACGGCGTGCGTGCCCTTGCACAGGCTGCTGCCGTTGGAGGGGAAGATGGTGTGGACCACGTACTCCTCCCGGGTGCGGTAGGGGTTGACGGGCAGCATCTGCAGCCCTGGGCCTCGGATCTCCAGGATGGAGTTGTCCTTCTTAGTCCCCGACTCCATGTAGCTGTCCTTGTGGCCGCCCCGGGGGTAGGCCCGGTCCCGGCCCAGCAGGTCCCCGCGGCTCACGTACCAGCAGACGGCCCCCAGGGCCAGGAAGAGCAGGACGAGCGCCACGGCGCCCCCGACGATGCCCGCCAGGGGCAGGCCGGCCACGGGGCCCGCGTTCTGCTCCCGGTTGAGGGTGGTGGCGGGGCCGTAGCCGTCGGCCGTCTCCGCCTTGGCGCACACGGGGGCCTCGTCGGCCGCGTAGGCGCTGCCCGTCTCCATGGTGACCATGCAGATGATGTAGGTGGACTTGGGCTCCAGCGCCGTGAGCAGGTACTCCGTCTTGTCCCCCTGCACCAGCGTCTCGGTGATGGAGCCCACGGCCGGGCTGTGGCCCAGGCGCAGCCAGCTGAGCCGGAAGGAGGCGGCGGGCAGCGCGGCCTTCCAGGTGATGCGGACGGAGTCGGCCGTCAGGGGCGTCACGTGGAGCACCAGGGCCTTGGGGCCGTCGCCCGTGGCCAGGGGGTAGTCCAGGCCGGAGTCGGGGAGCCGCAGGCCCGGCCGCTTGGCCTTGAGGGTGAAGAGCGAGCCCTGGGGCGTGGTGGCGGGGGCCCGGGCGCCGGCCGTGGTCCTGGCGGCCGCGCCGGCGCCCTGCGGGCCCGCCTCGGAGCACTCGTCCATCTCGCCGGTGATGTCCTTGATGGCCATGCCCCGCACCTTCTCGGGGCCCTGGCACATGAGGCCGCGCACGCTGACCTCGGCGGCCCGCGCCCGCACCCAGTCCCGCAGCCACAGCAGGTTGCAGCCGCAGAACCAGGGGTTGTTGCGCAGCAGCAGCTGGGCCAGGCTCTCCAGGTCGTCGAACAGGCCGCGGGGCAGCGTGGTGAGGTTGTTGTTGGACAGGTCCAGGCGCTCCAGCTCGCGCATGCGGGCCAGCGTGTTGTAGGGCACGTGGCTGATGGCGTTGTCCTGCAGGTAGAGGCGCTGCAGGTGGGCGCTGGGCAGGTTGAGGGGCGGGGCGGCCAGCGAGTTGCGCACCAGCGAGAGCTCGGTGAGGTTCTGCAGGCGGCTGAAGGTGTCGTCGGCGATGCGCTGGTTGGCCAGCAGGTTGCCGTCCAGCACGAGGCGCCGCAGGCCGCGCAGGCCCCGGAAGGCGTGCAGCGGGATGGTGGAGATGCGGTTGTCGTCCAGCCGCAGCTCCTCCAGCGCGCGGGGCAGCCCCGAGGGGATGCTGCTCAGGTGGTTGCGGCTGAGGAAGAGCAGCCGCAGCCGCTGGCTGTCGGCGAACGCGTCCTCCTCGATGCTCACGGTGGACACGGAGTTGTCGTCCAGGTGCAGCTTCTCCAGCAGCGGCAGGCGGGCCAGCGAGGCGCGGGCGATGGCCCGCACGTTGTTGTCCTGCAGGTGCAGCTCCCGCAGCGAGCGTGGCAGGTTGTCGGGGAAGGCGTCCAGCGCGTTGCCGTACAGGTAGACGACGCGCAGGCTGAGCTTGGCCTTGAGGCCCGGGGGCACGCCGGCGCTGCCGATGCGGTTGTTCTGCAGGTAGAGCGTGGTGGCGTCGTCGGGGATGTCGGCGGGCACGGCCGTGAGGCCCCGGTCGTTGCAGTAGATGAAGCCGCGGTCGCAGCGGCACACGGACGGGCAGGTGGTGCTGTCGATGACCCCGGTCAGGAAGGCGACGAGCCCGTAGCAGAGCAGCAGCCAGTCGCGCAGGTCCGTGGCGGCCGCGGCCATCACGACGGTGGCCGTGGCCGCGGCGGCGGGCGCGGTGGCGGGCGCGGTGGGCAGTGCCACCACCATGGTGGACGGCGGCGGCGGGGACCGGGCCTCACCCGACCGGGGGCCTCACCACCTGCAAGGAGCACAGGACACGCGCGGTGAGAGGGCGCCGCCGGGAGGCGCTGCGGGCGGGGGCCGGGCAGAGACCACGCCTGGGGGCACGGGCACCCGGCCCCTGAGCGCCAGGGTGATGTCACAGCGGACCGCTCGGCTCCGGCCGGGCACGGGCGACCTCTAAGCCTCAGGGGGTGGCACGTTGCCGGTAAGTGAGACGGAGGCTGTGTGCCTCCCGGATGGGGCTCTGTTAGTGATTAGCGGGGGCCACACCAAGGCTCCGCGCTCCTCCGTCAGGATCTCACACCGGCCCGGTGTTCACGGCGCCCGCTCACCGCGGCCGCCCGTGTCGATGGGATGGATTTGGGGCGTGTTTTATGGATCCCGAGCCACTTCTCACTGGAGTGATGAACTCAGTCTGGCTCGGACCCAGGGCTCCCAGGGAGAGCTGGTTTCGGGGAGGCCTGGGAGCTCAAAAGGGGGTGGGGGTGGGCGGGACTAGAACCTGCGGCCAAGAAGCTGCTGGCGCCGTCCCTGGGGAGCGGGGAGCAGGCGCTTCATTGTCTGGTGGTGAAACGTGCCCGTGTCAGGCGTGTGTTTTACAGACAGAGAAGAAGGTGTCAATAGAGCCGCTGCCTCGCGAACTTACAGAAACCTGTCTCCATCGGAGGTGGCTCAGCTCTGCGTTCTGTGGGCGGTCACTCCGCCCCTCGCCCCCTCCCAAAGCCTCACAGCTTGGATATGTACAGACTCATAATTCCTTCTTACGTTTAAAGAATGAGACGCACAGGGGAGGGAGGGCCGGTGGTCTGAGGGAACTGCCCGGAGCTGTAATTCCCGTTTTCACAAATGGAAAAACGGCAGCCGAGACCTTTCTCGTGATTTCACTGTTCGTAATGGTAAAAAAATCAATTAAAGAGAAATTATCTTCCAGCCCTGGTGCGGGAGGTGTCTCCACGGGGGCCGAGGCGCACACAGGCTCCCGGGGCGGGCGCAACGGCCCCTCGGTCGCCCGTGTGCAGAGCAGAAGCCGGACACGCTCGGGCGGGAGCCGTGGGGCCTCCCTCCCACGCCCAGCGGCCCCGTGGCCCCGTGGCCCCGTGTCTCTCCGTGTCTCCGCCCTGTCTTCCCTCCTCTGTCTCTCTACATCAGAGCTGCTCTCCTCCATCCACCAAACGGCTCCTCGGCCGTCAGGACCAGGCTCCAATGCCCTCTCCTCTGCTAGGCTTCCTGATGCCAGGTGGAGCTCCCACTTGCCCCGTCACCCATCCTTCTACCCACCCACCCGCTCACTGAGCCACCCACCCATCCATCCATCCATCCATCCGCCCGCCATCTCCACTCACTCATCCATCCAGGCATCTGGCCATCCAGTCCCCCAGCAGATGTGTATTAAGCCCATACCATATGCCACTTGTTCTGGCCACGTGTGACTCAATCCTGGTGGGATGGCAGCTCATCCTGTAATAAAGACCTCGCCGAGCGCTTTCTGAATGAATCCTGAAGTCATTCAGTCCTCCCAGCACCCGTGAGGCCAGAGCCCTTCTCACTCACTCCCATCTGACAGAGGAGAGAGCTGAGGGGGGTGTGGCCCTCGTCGAGGCCACTGAGGCAGTGGCAAGGCGGAGCCTGGGCCAGCATCTCCACACCCCACATTCCTGCCCCGTTTGCATTTACGGGGGCCTTGCCCAGCCTGCAGCTCTTCTGGAGAGAGCTCAGGCTTTGACATCCTGCCCCCGCCCCCCCCCCCCCACCATGCACGAACCCGCCCAGCGCCTTTGTGCAGCACAAAGCTTGGTCTGTAACGTCCCCCAGGCAGGTCAAGGGCCAGCCCAGGACACCTGGCAGGAAGCAACTGCGGATCAGGGGAAGGGTGCGGGGGTCTGCACTGGGACCAGAGGGGGAAAGGGGGCAGTGAGCCAGGCCCAGCATCTGGCCCTTGAAGCCAGCTCCAGCTCCCCCACCGGCACCCCCTGGCCTGAGGGACCAAGGACTGCAGCCTCGGCCCTCGGCCCCAGCCCCGCTACGGTCCTCACTGCACTCGGACCCCCGTCCCGAAGGTGGAGGCGGTCTTCGCTTCCTGCCGATTGGCCTGCGTCCTTGTTTCCCTGACCCGGCACCCTGGCCATGCCCCTCTCGTCCCCCCTCCAGAGCCTCGTACCCTGCACCAGCCCGTCCTGCCCTGGGCGGCACCAGGAGCCACCAGGTAAGGTCCGGGAGCAGCGTGGGGTCCCAGGCTGCCCAGCCTCATTGACCGCTGACTCCCACCTGGCATTACACCCAGGACCAGGCGGGCACTGGCCCAGTTCACAGGCAGAGAGGGCTCAGGGCTCAGGGCAGGGAACAGCCCTCCCGCCAGACCTCACCACCCCTTCACAGGCGCATGTCTGTACCCTCACCCTGTACCTTCACCCTGCCCCATACACACGTCCCCCGTCCCATTTACAGCCGAGCGGCTTGAGGCTCGGGGTGAGGGGCTATCAGGGTCACAGGGTCACAGCGGCAGGTTTCTGGCTGCGCCCCTGTCCTTCCTCTGCACGGAGCCAGCCCTCGAAGGCGATGGAGCTGGAGGTCCTGCCCAGGCTGCGTAGGAGCAGAGGGTCAGGGCCAGGCCCAGGGCAGGGGCTGAGGACAGCAAGGGGCAGGTCTGCCCAGGGGCCTAGGGAGAGCCTCTGTGGGGGGCCCAGCGGACGGTCAGAGGACACTCCCCTTTCGAGCCAAGGCTGAGTCCTGGCAGGGGGTGCAGTGGCCTGTGCCCGGCTGTTCCAGGCCAGTGCCCTGGGCAGGGGGCAGGCTCGTGGAGGCCAGCCACCGCCTTCCCTGGCACAGAAGTCCGTTCCCGGTGCCCACGCAGCTCACGGCCGCAGCCTGCAGCCCCCGAGGCCCCGGCATCGGTGCTGGAGTGTGAATTCATATTTCAGAGACGCCTGATGGATCGCCCACCAGCGCCCGGAAGGCCGGGAGGCAGGGACCCAAGGCCTTCCTGTCCCTCGTCTGTGGGCCTCATCCATCTTGGCTGCAGTCTCCTCGCTACCCCCTCCCCAAGGCCACCCACTGAGCCCCCTGGTTCCGGGAGAGCAGGGCAGGGTGGGGGGAGCACTCCGTGCTGGAGGAGCCACGAATTGCCCAGGAGCTCCGCAGCCTTTGCACTCGCTTGCCGCGTGAGGATGGTTTATGCAGCATCAGATTAACCCGGTCAATCCCCTGGCTTTTACGGGCCACTCAGAGGCCGGCCAGCAGGTGTGGGCTGTGGCCCTCTGGCTCCGTGACGGACAGCACGGTCCTTGATCCGCTCTTGGGGGGCGGGGACGGGGAGGAGTCAGGTGGCTCAGACCCGAGGGGCACCGTGCTTGGCATTTGCTACCAGCTCCTGCCATCTTCCAGGATAGGGAAACCTGGGTTTGAGCCCGGCCTCCGCCGCCTCCAGGCTGTGTGACCTCGAGCAGGATGCTTGCCCTCTCTGAGCTTCCGCTTCCTCCTCTACAAGCATGGCCACGGAGGGTGCAATCAGATCCTGCGTACGAAGCACCCCTGGTGAGGGCCAGCTGGGTGTGACGTATGCCGGCGGTGTCACAGCTGCCCATGCTCCCGCTGCCCCGGCCCCTGGCCTAGGCTCTGTGTCAGCTGCTCGTCTCTGTCCTCTGCTCCCACCAGCCCCTCCCACTGGCCCTGTGCCTCCAGGGCAGCAGCGCCGCCAGGAACCTGAGAATTCAGGTGGCGGTGGGTGACTGCAGGAGAGGCGTGGGAGAGAGGCCCGCAGGGCGCCAGGTGAGTCCGGCCGCGGCCGCCCAGTCCCGGCTGTGACCGGCGGTGGTGCTTCTGTGGGCTCGGCTTCCTCCCAGTTTGGAAAGAAGAGCTGCCCAACTGTCCCAGGGAGGGACCCCAAGGCCCTCCATGGCCACTCAGGGCGCTGCCCCCTCGTCCTGGCTGCTTCATTAGAGGGAGGGCAGACACGGGGCCAGGAAGCGGCAGACAGAGGACGACCCTGCCCCCTCCCTTCGCCCCCTCCCGGGGCCCCTCCCAGGCCCTCCCTGCTGCCAGAAGAATTGTTTTCCTAAACCTCGCCCACTGGCAGAGCAGGTCCCAGGCAGGAGCGAGGGGTGCAGGCATGCTGGGGGACAGCAGCAGTTTGAGCCCCAGGAAGGGAAAGGCAGGGGCACCCCCTGTCTGTGATGGGTCCTCAGCAAAATTTAAAGAATGGGGGGCCCCACATTTCCTTCCTCACCAGGCTGCACCCCCTCCCGGCGTAAGCCCCATGGAGGGAGCAGGGAGCAGCTCTACCTCTCTGCCCAGGGAGGCCTCCGGGGCCCCCTCCCCTGTAAAGCGGGCGTGGACTCGGGCCTCAGGCCTGCATCTGTGAGCTGGGACCTGAGCCATCCTCTCCCTTGGCTTCTCCCTGCAGGTCCAGGAGGCGTGAGGGCCGGTGAGGAGGGAGCCGGGGGTTGCAGTGTGAGTGGGGCTCCTGCCCAGGCCGGTCTGTGCCGGGAGGCACCTCCTTGGGGGGGCTGGATGCTCCCACCACGCCTGAGCCGTCTCCTGGTGCCACGGAGAACGTGTAACCGCGGGGGTGAGGTAGGGATCCTTTAAAACCTCAAGTTAATTATTTTTCTAATTTCATGCGGCATGCATTATGCATCAGCAGTTATCAGCCGTAATTGCAGGCAGGTATGCAAATTCACTAAAAAAACGCACCTTCCGCTCCTCTCCCCTCGGGCCGCCTGGGCGGGCCGGCCCGGGATGTCCCGAACCTGAGAACGTAAACCGCGTTTAGAAATGAGACTTTAAAATCGGGGCTCGGAGTTAATTATACTGATAACAGTGTCGACGTGAACCTGTGCGGGGCCAGGCAGGGGAGGGAGGAAGGTGACACGTGTGTAATTTCGTCTTTCTCTCCAGTGTCGGCGTCGTAATGAGCAGTTCCGCACCTGACCCCCCCCCTCTGGGCGTGCGTTCTTAGCAAAGCTGCCCAGACCTAGGCTCAGTTCCTTTTGGGAAAGGAAAGGAGCCGCTGGGGAGTCTCAGAGGCAGGAGGGGGACCCGGGGGGCCTTTATTCTGGGGGGGCAGCGCCTGCAGGGCTGGAGAGCCCCAGAG